GAGAAACGCAAAAGTAAACCAATAGTTACTTTTACTAGTAACTAGTTACTTTTATTGTGGAGTAACTCAGTTAGTAACTCAGTTACTTTTTGGGAGAAATAACTAGTAACTATAACTAATTACTTTTTCAAAGTAACGTGCCCAACACTGGCTACTGATTATAAAGCATTAAGAAATCCACATCTGGGAATCAAATTTTACCGCACAACTTTTATGGCGGTAATTTTCTCCACATTTAACAAGACTTAATATATGTGAGATGGACAAAAGTGAGCAAATGAAATCACTCATTATGCATACAAGTCCCCAGTGGCAATGGGTATGCAGCTAATGGCATTTGAGTTATTGATTAATATACCAATGAGCACTAATTAGTAATTAAAACACAAGTGAATTGTTTAACTACATGTCCCACGGTCATTAGGGATATACTTAATTGTGCCTTTATAAATGCGCGTCTAACGTAGAATCTAATAAAACTTGGCAGGTGTTTGATTTTACTTCTCACCGCTGTGGTCTGACAGGGAGATAGATTAAACTGGAGGCACAATGATATGTCAGTAATGTGAAAATGGATACTATCTATTAATAATAATTAAAGAAAATTTTGTTTTATTCCTCTCATGGTTGCTGTACATAAAAAAAATTGGAGAAACAATACAATTGGGATGAGAGCTGTCCAGTGAATTCTTAAAACTGAAAGGACAGTAGTGAACTATCGTGTTCAAGAAAAAAAAAAAAAGGCACAGGTCAGTTTTTTCTTGACGACTCATGCCGACTGTACAAGCATGTGAGAGTAGAGCTATTATCTGGTGTTGCTATATAAGATCAGCAGCATTTTCTACCAAAGGAATGAAACTATCTGAGTATACTGAATGACCGGGAAAGGCAAGGCTAATTTATTTGTACATGTATAACACAGGATAAAGACAATTGAATTTAGTTCAGTTTATTTCTATAGCGCCAATTAGCAACACATGTAATCTCAAGGCAATTTACCATTCAACCAGATAATACAGTCAAATTGATTCAAAGTTTTCTATCTAAGGAAAACCAGTTGATTGCATTGACTCATTGACTCAAATGCAATCCCTCACACTAAGAATGCTTATAGCAACAGTGGAGGGAACCTCAAGCAGGGAAGAAACCTCAAGCAGAACCAGGCTCAGTGTGAGCGGCCATCTGCAGAGGCCCAACTGGTGTGGAGACAAGCCGAGATACAGAGAGAAGCAGACATAGTTTAATGTTAGAGATTGAACTAACAAATTCTGCAGAGTGGGAGAGTAGAGATGGAATGAAGCGGAATTATGAAATAGGGGTCCCTATGTCCTCCAGCAGTCTAAGTCTATAGCAGCATAACTATAGAGATAGTTTAGGATAACCTCTAATTATAAGCTTTATCAAAAAGGAAAGTTTTAAGCCTATCCTTAAAAGTAGACAGGGTGTCTGCCTCACGGACTAAAACTGGTAGTTGGTTCCACAGGAGAGGAGCCTGATAACTAAAAGATCTGCTTCCCATTCTACTTTTAGAAATTTTAGGAACCACTAGTAAACCTGCAGATTGAGAGCAAAGTGCTCTGTTAGGGACATAAGGAACGTTCATATCTCTGATATAAGATTGAACATGGCCATTTAAGTCTTTATATGTGTGAATGAAGATTTTAAATTCTATTCTGGATTTAACAGGAAGCCAATAAAGAGAAGCCAGGATAGGAGAGATTTGATCATTTTTAGTTTTCATCAGAACTCTGGCGGCAGCATTTTGGATCAACTTAAGGCTTTTAACTATAGTTGGTGGACTTCCTGATAGTAAAGAATTAGAATAGTCCACCCTAGAACAAAGACAATTCAAAGTGCTTACATGAATTATACAATACAAAAGAAGGATCAAAAGGTGTGTAAGACAGATAGTAAAACAAATAAAACAGTTGGACCACAACCTTAAACAGATTAACTTCCACAGTCAAAGGCAGCTCTCAACAAATGGGTTTTTAACTTGGACTTTAAAACAACTCAGGCTTTCAAGTCTTTTGGGAGTTGTTTTCCAGATAAATGGAGAATAGGAACTAAATGCTGCTTCTCCATGTTTCGTTCTAGTTTTGAGTGGAGAGAGTAGACTTGAACTAGACGATCTGAGTGGTCCTGGAGGTTGATACCCTGGCAAAAAAATCTGTCATGCATTGAGGTGCTGATCCATTCAGTGATTTATAGAGTAACACAGATTTTTAAGTTTATTCTCTGAGCTACAGGGAACCAGTGGAAGGACTTCAGAACTGGGCTGATCTGTTCTACTTTGTTAGTTCTAGTGAGAACACGTTTTGGATCAGCTGCGGCTGTCTGATGGAATTTTTGGGCATATGAAGACACTGTTGCAGTAATAATTCTACTAAAGATAAATGAATGAGTTTTTCTAGATCCTGCTTGGACATTAGTCCTTTAATCCTGGAGATGTTCTTCAGGTGATAAAATGCTGATTTAGTAACTGCCTGTATGCGCTTCTGAAGGTTCAGGGCTGAGCCCAGGATTATCTCATTTTTGCCTTTATTTAGTTGGAAAATTGTGGTGCATCCACATATTGATCTGTTCTATAACAGTTTATTCCATCAACAGGAACTCTGAATGACTGATAAGTGGAGCACGAGGCTCCATTCTCACTCCACAGAGTCCAGACGTTAACCTCATTAGGAATCTTGATGCAAAATGTTCATCTGGAAGATAGAAATCACATGTGAAATACATTATCTATTTTATAAGGGTTCATTCATATTTAACAATCTTCTCCAGCTCTGACTTATGGCAAAATTGGAAGCAGCGTGAGAGCAGTCAGTGGATGGAGCAGCATGTCTGCATTCTGAACAAGGTGCCAGGTTCAAATCCCACAGGGGGTTGGTCTAAGTCTCTGTGTAAACTCTTTAGGCCCAGATTATGATGGGTTAAATGCAGAAGAAAATGAACAATAGATTGTACAACAAAAACTGTGAAAATAAAGTTGGTAAACAGTGTGACTTTGTGGTATTTTCACAAAATTCTCAAAAACCTTTTAAAACCTCCAGCATCTGTTTCTGGCTAACTGCCCTTACCTTACTTAAAGAGCGTTACAAAGTTCTACTTCGACTCCTAGAACGTCTGACAACACTTTCCCTTTGATGCGATGGAGTGGCAAAAAAAGCAATTAACGAAGACACATGTCTACCTGGAACATCTGTTTGATCAGAGATTTCAACAGCATCTATGTTTACTGCAAGTCTGGCCTCTTCTGTCCTGACCATATGGACAAACAATTTAACTGACATGAACATATGAAACCACAGACAGTGCTTAACAGGAAGCTGTTAAGTTCTTAAAATGAAAGAGAGAAACGACTTACCTTTATTGTTTTTGGAATACCTCGTTTGTTGTAAAATGATGGTTCTTGTCTTGTTTCCGTGCCCTGCTGACTGACAGGTGACTCTCCTCTCCTGCCTGGTGGACACTGAGCTTTCCTTCCTGGACTACATCCGAGGCGGGTAAGTTCACAGTTATTGATGTTAAGTGATACAGGATCAGGCAGCAGCATTGCTCTCATTGCTGAAATCTTCTGTCACTTGCAGTTATTAATATAGCTTAGAAGATTAGCGGCTGGTGTTATCTCCCAGCTCCAATATTAAGACAGACAGCTGCCGATAACCCGCTGCTTTAATTGCTCTCCGCTGCGTGCTTTGAAACACGCTGTGGCATAATCTGACATGATTGATGGTTCAATGTTTCTCCTTATGTCATTTATTCTTTTTTTGTAGGACACAGATTAATTTTACGGTGGCAATCGATTTCACAGCTTCAAATGGTGAGTGTTTTCACTGCTTTACTGTTATAATGGCATCTCTTTGGCCTATAGAACAGATAAAATTTGGAAGATAAAAGATCAGATCTGAGTAATTTGAACTCTTCGGGCGTTTCTGGTAAGCCAGCCTGACTTATGGATTTAATTTGAATGAAAAATATTAAGATTAAGTGTGAAATTTGACTATTAGAACTTTGACTATTCAAACTTTAAGAGGTTTGTGGGAAAGTTTCCCCAGACAGTAAATCCCTGCACCCACATGTTCCAAATTGCATTTCAAGCATTAAACCAGTCCATATAAAGAACATCTAGATTAGGGCGAACAAACAAAATGAGCTGTTCTGCACATAAGAATGTGACACAGGTGATTGATCGACTCTTTCTGGCAAAACTGGATTCAGCGGTTTAATAAGGGGTTACGCAATTTTCAAAGGTTATGTAACAGGAAAAACGAATGAGTTTCTGTGTAGTAATGAAATGAGTCTCCTGCTGAGCTGTCGTTGAGGAGGCAGAGAACAAACCAAATAACGTCCACATCCGTTTTTTTTCTAATGATGTCCCAATAGATTCTTCAGTTTTTTTCTCCTTTTTTAAATCTTGTGACACGAATGTTTGTAACCTGATTTATAAAATAGCAAAGCTTGTGTACGTTTTGCTCCCGTATCCAAGTGTTTTCCTACTCAGTTAGGTAGTTGTTGTTTTAAACACTAAGATAAAGATATTCTTTCCAGATTAAAACAAAAACATTTAAATGTCGTGAACACTGACGAATTTTCCTGTTTTTTTTTTTTAACGTAACTTATTTCAGAGGTGGGTAATTCAGGTTCAGAAATTAAAAGACCTACAGAGATTAACTTTGCATTTTCCGTTCCAAAGCATAGAGAGGAGATCGATTTGAATATCTGAAATCGGAAAAGACCCCCCCCCCCCGTCCCTCAGTGAGGTCTAGAAGCACAAGATCTATATCCAGTCATTTAGTAAGGATACTGCTACATGGCTGTACATCTTATTTTGGCATTTGACCAGTTAGATGAGCCCTTCATGTATTACCTACTGTAAATTCAGTTGAAAGTAAAGTTAAAAAGTGAAGAAAAAAAGCTAATTGAAAAGTTAAAAATGTAAGTTAAAGTAGCCTAGTTAACAAAGGTTTATAAACTATAAAATGTAAGGGTCAGTATCAGTAATAATGCCTCCAAGGTTACATTGGACCAAAAAAAATGTTTCTTTCACTGTGTTTTTCATGAATTTCTTAGCACTTTTGTTTTTCTTTTTAAATATATATATAAATATATATATTAGGGCTGCAACAACGAATCGATAAAATCGATAAAAATCGACTTTTAAAAGCGTTGGCAACGAATTTCATCATCGATTAGTTGTGTCGCGCGATTATTGCGTCATCCGCCGC